GTAATCCTAAGAGGAAAACTCAGTAACCATTTTTATCGTGAACCGGGCCTTAAATAGGAACACTCTGGTTGCTAAGGACTTTACCGCTTCCGTTACGAGGTACCAAGGTTTCCTTTAGGTTAACGAAAAACAAAACAATGCAAAACAAAAAACATAGCATAACGACGAAAAACACAAAACATAACGACATTTTAGATCCTCGCGATACTTCCATGAGTCTTGTGATCGATTGTACTGAGCTCTGTCCAAAACCCTGCTTGCTCGCATAGCTACCCTTCGTCTAATATTCCCCGATCCTCTTGAGGATGACGCGTATGTATAGCTTGTAGATTACAGACAAAAAGCAGATCGAGCTATAGTAGTCAATATCGTCCGGATCTCCGTTCTTGTACAACATACCGTTACAAGTTTTCCATGTGGGCACTTTGCTAGGCACTACGACAGGATCCGCGTGAAAAGCCGAGCCAGGCCTTGACAATGACTTGCGGAGGGCTCTGCAAATGCCCTGGTTCCATTCTACAGGGACCGGGTATTGTATTACCAACACGATGGCACTCGGCTTATCGGGAGCGAGAACTGAAGAGACGACATACCCGTCCCAAGATGGAAGGTAGACATGTAGACGTGGCTGCTGAAGAGATTTGATTGTGAGTAGAATTCGCAGATGAGCTGGGAGTCTCCAAAGCGCGGCGTTTCGTTGCATCTTTGAGACTCACTGCTTCCCTGGCATTTTTGCGGAAACGTTCGACGAGCCGGTTGTATTCTTCACCGATGTTGCCGGTAACGGAATCTTCCCGCAACTCGCATGCGAAGCAAATGTATTCCAATCGACAACGCCTTGGGGCTTCTTTTCCTGAACTTCGCAGCTATCTCTTCAGGCACAGGATTTAGTGCGTAAGAAACGATGGTCTAATCCTTTGCACAACTTCAGAACAACATCGAGGTCAGTTAGACAAAACTTTTGGTTGAAGGCGATGTGATTTATTCCATTATGGAACTGTCCGCCAGGTGACTCCAATGTCCATTGCAAATGAGGGGGCTCCAGGTCTGCGAGTTACCTTGGATAGTGTGGCGACATGATACACTTGGACAGCCTTTCACCATGTTCATTCCGTTCCATGAGTCCCGATATGGGGCTCTTGGGCAATAGGATTTGCCGTGCCCGGCACTCGCGGACTATTTGCCTCGTTACTACAGTTCTAGCGCTCCTACACAGTTCAATCGATATGCAATTATTATTTTTGGCATGATTCTACAGTTGTTCTTTTCTTCCTGTATTTCTTACTTGCTGCTGCATTCTGTTACATTCCTTCGCGCGCGGCGTCTATATCGCCGCGACGCGACGGTTTCGATCCAACCGCACCACAATCTGGGCTCTTCAGCTGTCCCTCTGGGGCCAACCTTAAAGTTAAAGTCACTAACGATGGCCTTGAAGAAAGTCAACGGAAACCGTGATTACCGTGATGGAATAACATCGAATAGCTATTCGGATGTGATATCAGCTTTTACAATTGCGCAAAGAGCTGACAACATCAAGCCAAAACTGTCCAGAAATGCTTTCCATTGTCGGGATGGGTTATGACAAGTTGTTTGAACTTCCTGCAAGGGCTCCTTTGTGAATGGTGCAGCCACTAAAATGCCGTTAGAACTCGTCCGGGCGTACACATGGGGTAACTTTTAGGCCCTTATAAAGCCCTAGCTAGCCACTTTCCGATCTGACAGCGCCACATATATATGGTCGGGACCACAGTTTTATCCTAGCAGTATATCTCATAGCCACTTTTCTTGTGGTCTGGGCCTTTAATCGAGTCCANTGAACCTGAGTGACGAAACAGTTCCAATAGGGCCGCTAGTTAGGCGGGCCGCAGTTCAAGCGAGTGGGTGGTTCGGGCGAGTGGCTCTGCGCAGAAAATGCGCTCTATGAGCACTGCCCGAGTTTCGTTCGGAATTATCGGTGCGCTCCAATGACAATGTGGTTGTGAAGAGCAGCACCAACTGGTGGCCTCTCATCTGGCATTCTAATGGTATAAAAATATTTGATTTACAAACCAGCTTGAAGCAATGGCGTCGCTATTTCAAATGGAGCGAGTGCTTTACCAATGTGGATGCGATGACTGGTGGCCCCTTTGTAACCTCTATTTTTGCCGCCACTGCTCCATACTTCGGTTAGTTCGGAATCATTAGTGTTTTCAAACTGCTCATATTTGATTGATGTTATTATGTCTAACATTGCAGCTAAGTAGATCTAAAGCAGTGTATTTAGGTGCATATCATGCAGTCTCAATGAAATTGATTCAACCTTCTGCCCAAACTGTTTAGAAAACATTCCAGCGGGTGAAGCTCGAGTGAAAAAGAATCGATGCATCAACTGCAATCAATGCCCAGTATGCTGTAAGATAAATGTTTCACTATTCCAAAAATTTTCCATATTTTTTCTCAGAGTGTTTATTCGTTCTTAGGTTCAAATATACCTTGTCAGGAAGTTCTAGCTGTTCGTGGTGTTTTTATGATAGAGAATATGCCGTCAGAGGGTTCTTTCTAGCTGATAATTAGTTGTTCAGCTATGGTCTTAACAACAAGAGCAGTTGGTGAATCATGTCATCTTATGTGTTCAACTTGTCGATGGTCAACAAGGGACTCTGGCACCCCTGACCAGCCATCCAGCATAAATTGGCCTGTGTAAGTACAGCTACGGAAGCGCTCTTCTGATTTGCATTTTGTTTTTTGATTTGGTTTCTCTGCCCACTTAACATGTATGTGGCAGTATCAGACAAATTATGACCGTTGAGGAAACGATCGTATTGAATCAACAGATTTACCCGACCACTGACCTTATACATATCAGCGAACCCTGCAACGGCGCGGAATTGACATTAGAGCAAAGGAGGGCTGACTACCCTCAGCTGGTTTCCTTTCTTCGCGTCGTCAATTCTTCCGATGTTGAAGTTACCTCCAAGTCGGTTGGACTCCATAGCGGGCTTTTTTTTGCTGGTTAGCTCTCAACGCAGGTCTGATTAAGTTGTGAGCGAGATTTTTTAAAATCAGGTGGATAATTACCAATGTGGCGTATCATTAGAAGCCTGCTGCGTATGATAAAAACTGAACAGAACAGTAATTTTGAAGGATTTTCACTTTCTTGAAGTCTAGAATTCATGAACTTATTTCACATGACGATGTCTCAGGAGACTTAACAAAATGAACGAACATACGGATCCCAAAACGACACACATTTAAACCAGAGATCAATATCCAATAAAATAATGTAATAATTCTAGCCCAAATTGATGTTGACAGTAGAAGCAAGTGGGAGACATGTGTTGCAGGCTTGCTGAACAGTTTGCTGGCTTTTCGAATTATGTTGACCTAAAAGAGTTTTGACTGGGCGTCGTGATTTTTATGAAATGGAGGCTGCTAAAAGGTTTCTCACCAAAACCAAGGAAGTATGAAATGCGGCGAGGGTTAGTAACGAGGTACTAAACAATTACCGTGGAGTGTCATAGCGACTCGAATTGACTAACTCTACATATGGCTGATATATGAGGGAACGAATCGAAGTTTTACGGTTACATTCGCAAGCTTTCTGCAACTAGACCTTCTTCAATTGTCAAAGTTGGAACCGTCTTGTTCAGTCAGCTATAGCCTTGTAATCAGTGGGAGAAAATGGTAGCGCAGTCGAAGTCTGAGGTGACGTTATAGCAGTGAGTTTCATGAGCACATAGTGTAGCGCGATAAGAATGAAGCTAACGATTGGAATGGTGTATACGAACAGAAAACAATCAGAAATATGAACGCAAAATCCCACCACAACTAGATTCATCAGACAAAGGAATCATTTCAATCACTCACTTTTTAATTAGCATAAATGACAACGACGAGCAAAAAATCCACGAAAACGAACAGTTAAGTTCGAACACAGAAGCCATCGTACGTATTCGATGACCATCATGGACGCAGAATGCATCCCATGGCCTGCTTACAATGAAATTCATAACTGTGAAACTTTAGGCACGAAAGTACGTTGGACAAAGAACTTGGCGAAGTTCTGGAGCGAATGCGTGTGCTGGCAGCGGCAGAGAAGGCTCAGCGAGATCAAGTTAAATTGAATAAAAGGTGAGTTGTTTTGATGTACGGAGTGAAATAGCTGCCCTATGAGCTTAGTCATCAAACGTACGCTTTAGGGTTAAGGCTGTGCTTACCTTCTTACTTTGACCTTGTTTCAACGGCTTTATCACTGATTGTTCAGTCTTAATTACTTTGTAGGCGATCTCACAATGTTGGTAACCTTCTAACAGATCGTTATGGCCTGCAAGCTATTTATCAGAAACGCAAGAAAACGTTTGAGAAACCTTCACCACAACTGCCTTTACATGCGTCTTCTGAGGAGGTACATGGTTTCAATCTATTGAAAACCATCAGATCCGATCGTGGAATGATAATTACTGTGCATTGCAGGTTCCAGAGCTAGATATGTCTGCATACCTTGATGACTCAATCGAAACAACAGAGCCCTCTTTAGAATCTCGTCTTCGTCAACCACTTGCTGCTGGTCGTCCACTTCGTCCTGTCAGAATGCCGCTGAAGGCTAGGAAAGCAATTCGGTGCTTGAATAATTTTCAACTAGTGGCGAAATACGGGAATGCTTTTTCAGTCATAGTTCAATCATGTTTAAAGTTTCTCTCAGGTGCAAACAGTGCGATCATAACCTGGTCAAGCTGGAATATGGGACTTCAACTATACGATATAAGATCCAGGTAATTTGCTTCTGGGTTGTTCCAGTAACACTGCCATTTTATTCCTAACATTCTTTATTTTAGTATTTTGCTCGCAATTTCGTACCGGAGATTCGCCTTTCACGAGAACCTGAGCTAAGTGAAGGACAACCTGGCTCCGTTCTTCTTACTGTGGCCAACGAAAGCAATTCAAAGTCCGAGGTGATTGCATAATTACCTTATGAGCATAGCAGGATCGTGCAGGTTACAAAAAACTTATTTGACCCATGACATAAATTAAAAGGATAATGCTGTTGGGCGCTAGTCAAACCCGTCTGAGGGATGCGCCCCCGCATTCGGTTTCCATTCAGAATCGTAGTGGCGTATAGAATACGTATATGGCCTATGCAAAGGGTTGCGGTGGCCAGCCAATGTACAGGTCAGTGCTTCCCTCCCACACTAGTCTGGGACCGGTTAATCGACTCCCAAGAGACGGAGAGCTTTGTCGGCCCAGGCTGAGATCTATTACCGGTTCGATCTCCGGCGTATGTCACAGCTTGGCACTTGCCACATCCTCCCTGTTCGGAGCTCAGTATAATTAGAAAGAATCCTTCAAAACCTTTGGAGCGAGTACTTTTTCTCTGAAGTCCCATCTGAAGCTCTGACTTATTTGATGTTACGGATTTTGTATAAGCTTTGACATCTGTTGTTAATGTCTGTAGTTTACCTTGAAGGCGATGTGAATAGTGCTCGAGAAGAATTCCAACGATAGACTTCTTGTTTGCGAACGTCACATCCACGGCTTCATTTTTTCAATATGGAGAGGAATTATTAAGAAAACAGAAAAAACTATACTAGTGGAATTTCGAGCAGTGAATGGAATGAGTATGTCAGCAGCCGCACTATGAAATCAGATGTTTTTGGGTATAAACGAAAATTCGACTTAACTCATGTTTAGAATGCGCATTTCACTCTGAAACTTCCTTTAAGTTTGCCTAATTTTATTACTTGTCTATTCGATCTTCATGCTACTGCATTGACAAGTAGCATGAATAAAGGCAAATTCTCAATCATTATCTTATCAGAAACAATTTCGCAGTTGTATATCTTCGAAATGGGCTGTACTTTGTCGATCTATCGTTTTCCGCTTCACATAACTGGAAAACTATAGGTTATCATTATGGCGGATAATGATGATGGGACAGTTGAATGCCTAACACCGGTGGTGGAACTTTGCCTCCCGTCTTCTGATGACACCGCGGACATTTATGATATGGAAAGTGACCGGCGTAGTACATGCGATGGGTTAGTTATCTGCATTCAATTTTTTACTTCAACAACCTTGAATTTCGCTTGACGCCTTTTTGCATTTTAGGCTTGGAACAGTAGTTTTTCGAAGAAGACATCGCGCAGGTGTTCGGTTAGAGGTTAATTGTGGAGAAGCCTGTTCCAAAAAAGTTCTTAGTCTCTTGGTGAAGTACAGGAACGAACAGTGCTCCATGCAAATGAATGTGGAACCCGAGTGGAGGTTGACGCGTGTGCAGATTTCTTTAGCATCGTAATTTTTAAGAAACACGAATTATTTAAAACCGTGGTCTTTGACCTGCTAAACTTTGCTGGCTTTTCTGGTATATTTAATGTTGCATGATAATAAAATATGAAACTTGGATTCTGTCCAACTTTATTCCTTTGTTTTTTTTCCTTGTAAATGTTTGCGAATACATCAGTGCCTAACGCTGTTAGTATCTAGTAGTTCTCTCGGCAGAAGCGTCCCAGGTGATCTCGGAGTCGTCCTCTTCTATCTCTCCATATCCTGGAAGCTCCACATTAAATGCTGCCCTACGGAAGTCTGTTTTCAAGTACTAACCAAGAATGTGCAGGCATTTTCTTTGGTTCATTTGGATTGTACTGCCACGGAAATTTTCGATCAAATCAACGTTAGCCGGCTATTATCCCGTTATTATCTAGGAGCCACTAAGCAGCTAAATCTTTCGTATTAACAATGGCGTCTCTAGTATGTTATCAATTGTGGAGGGGTCGTAGATTACAAATGATAAATCGATAACATATTTCACAGACCGATAAAGAACTGGGTTCTGCGCTCAGCTTGTTCACATTGAAGGTCTGGCACTCTTAAGGGTGATGCGAGCTGTGTCGAGGTCGTTGATAGTCGGTGATGGGAAGTGATAGCAGCTGTTAAAAGCTGGTAAGGGGTCTCAAAATGAAAGATACTGGATGTACGCCCTTCGCCTTAACAGCAAAACCTTCTTGAATGATGGATGATGTAGGAGGTATCTTAATCGTAGAGTGGTGACAGGAACCCATAATAATTGGTAGAAGCTAAAAACGAATCTTGAAGAGCAGGGGTAGCATGGTCTGCACACCCTTAGTATTCACAGTAGAATCCTGGCTTTTCAGTGGTTTGGATATGAAGTGTATCGGTATCATAGATGCTTGCAGACAGTTAGCGATAACCTAACTTAGGCTGAGGAAAAGCCAAACAAGACCGGATCAATACTGTCTGACACGCTTTTTGCTAGTAAAGGAACAGACACTTTAGTGAATGAGTGATATGGGCTGGGGTCGTGGTTTAGTGTTTTGTGGATGTTTAATGGGAAGGACTGACAATAACTCGTAAGAAATTATGAGGGTAGTAGAAGACAGTAGATGGTAAATTTGTAATGCCATTCGTTCCGACAGCAAGCTTTTACATTCTGGTGGGAAGTGTGAAATGTGATGAGGTCGTAGATAGGCGATAACAGAGGCTGATAAGAAGGGGTAAAGGCTGAAATTTAGCCTTGAAATGCAGTACCCACAGAGCTACATTCTACGTAGTAACACTAGACCCTTGCTGCTCCATTGCGCCATGTAGGACGTAGCTGTAGCGAGAATAACGGGTGGCAGAAAGAGACAGCGGTTGGTAGAAGATTACGGATGAAACCTTCAGCGGTAGTCAATCCCGCTTTTGGGCTGCAACTTGGATTCTTCGGAAACAAACTCGAAATTAGTACAGGCGACAGGATGGTAGCACTGATGATTGGCGGTAGTACTGATGTGCAAAATTGTCTTCTTGGCCTTAGAGCCTTCAAATTGAGAGGGGAAGGGGTTAGGAAGGAGAAGCGTGAGCAAAACGAGCGTAACTGAGTAAAAATACACACCCCACTTCTAGTAAGTGTGAAGTGAGCAATATTACTCAAGTATACATGTCTTGAGTACGACTCCGCTAAGGCGGGCGGAGGAGAGGTGCTTACGTATTGTGTTGGGGTGTGTGTTTTCAGCTAATGTGTTCAGCTAATTTCTCACAACTTCTGTTCTCCTTAAACAAACTTTCCAATTGGGTAGGATGCAAGCGGCTGATCGACTTCTTGCAAAAAATGAGAGAGACCGGCGTGAGTCGGGCGATCTGACTGTTTACGACATATAAGTAGAAATTTGATGTTGCTGAGACAGTAGCCGTCAATGGCGTATCTACTAATGTAATATTCAGTGGGAACCGTCCGGCTAAAGCCCGGCTTTCCTCATTCTTATGACAAAATTTTAATAATCGACTAACTCGCTTCTCCTTCCTTAAAACAAATAATGCTCCGTAAATGAACTTGACATGACTTGCGGTGGCCAGACGACGGACAATCAGTGCTTTTATCCTCCATCCGTGGTCGGTTAGTTGCTACCAGACAAGTCTGGCACCAACTAACCGATCCCGGATTGATGGAACGCTTGGTTTGACTAGGTAGATACCGATACAAGAGTCGAACCCATGACCGTGCATGTGTGACAGGTTGCTGCTTACCACTACACAACTTATACTATGCGCGTACGAGTGCAATCATTTTTCTTCTGTGGGAGCTGCTGGGAAGTGGAGCATACCTGAACTCCTCTTTCTAAAGAGGAAGTGACATGATTCCACTTCCTTTTTTTTTTCTAAACGTACCCGGTGTGTTGAGACCTTTTTGACCTGCAGCTATATGCCATTCTTGATCTTGATATCGATCTCGATCCCAATGAACGTCTTCCTCTGTGACGTGAACTTTTGAGAGCGCTGCGCCTAGGCCGTCCGCAACACGAGTTCCGGTACGAAAGCTGACCCGATTTCGTCCGCGCTCTACGGTGACAAACCGTTGATTCGGGCTCCGCGACTTAAATGCCATTTATGTAAACATAAATAGAAAGTACGGCTATAAGAGAGTAGCTTACAGGAAACAGATTTTTGTGGTTTGCCACAGAGTCGACATACTACGAGAGAGCCACTTCGACTTCCTCTAGAATATCCTCTCCCGTTGCCTAGTCTTCGAGACCGTTTTCGTTCGAGGGAGTGTTTCGAGTTTGACGAATGAGACGAACGTGAACTTGATGTCGAACGTTGCCTCCTTCTCGAACTTTGCCGTCTTCGAGAGCTTCGTCTTTCTAACGAAGACGTCATGGTTAGTTGAAATGAACGAGTTTCCCTTGGGAAGTTCTTTTATACTTTTTCTTATCTTGGATAAGCGTATATTTATTTGCATCCTACTATTAGCAAGAGAGTAGTTTATGATTATGCATTGTAGAACTTTCCCTCGGAAGAGGGTCAAGGTTGGTGTCGTAGCAAGATGCAGTAATACACGTTTTGGAGATATCTTCGATCTTTTACTTCAAAGAAAGGGGATAAGGAAGACAACAAGTTGGCTCTCATAGAGATATCATCCCTATCCCCTACTCGGCTACTTGCAAGAGAGAGCTGTTAATTGGATCGGCAGAAAGGAAGAGCGCTGACAGATGGGGATCAGAAGTCGCCCGGTGGTCGTCGCTGGTCGCCATTCGCGGGAGGATCTCAGGTGTTGCTGAACTGAAGATGCTTCGATGCGGCAGCATTCTGCTAGCCATCACTCATGAGCGAATTTTTTCAACGAAACTTGTAATCTTTGCCGGGATATCAGCCAACGTATGTGCTAGAATGTTAACAACTCTGATGGTCATATTGAACACGATCAAATATTTTCACTTAAAAAATCTCAGAGACCCCAGTTATAATAATCGAATGATTTGGCTTGAACGCTTTCTCTCAAATTCCTCAAATGTATGAGGTACCTCTTCTGAACAGGCTAACTTGGACACACACAATAAGAAGACAATAATGAACTACGTTGATGTGATTTATTGTAGGCTTATAGCACCAAGAGATTAACATTTATAAGCGTTGCATTGTACAAGGAATAGAATCAGCAAAATTGAACTTGGAAATGATGACTTAGTATACTAGCGAAACTAGTGCTAGCGCAACATCTGCACACTGCTGTGCGAAACTAATAGGTATTAGCGATTCTTCACCCCTCTTTACGACCTTCCTTTACCCCTCTTTTCAAAAATTTGTTGATTCTATTATCCGCCTTTTCCCAGCTGCATTTCTCAAGAGGGATAATTTGTGGTGGCTTCCCATTCACTAGCTATTTCTTGCTGTGATTCATGTTTTACCCTAGCCGCCTAGACAAATAAGACGTATCTGCTGGAGAATCTCTCAAATCCATATTCGTAGTTTGTAGAACGGCGTGGTAATTAACGTTTTTAACGCCCGTACATCTGCATTTTCAACAAGCCTCGCTGAATTACTTATTCTTCTTTGTATCTCTGAAGGAGTATCAATAGCTATCAACAACACCTAATCTCTTACGATCGGCTCCATGCAGTTTCAGTTCACGTCTCATCCGTTCTCTTTCCTCCATTTGCTCTTTCCTACTCAATACTACGTTCGACTTAACATAGACAAATGCTGTAAATCCAAACGCTATTATCACAACATAAGCAATCCAAATGTTCTTGTGCTTGTTGTCCAGTCCAAGTTTTCCAACAACCTTAAATTCATAAGTAGCGTAAAGCTGGTAAACTTCGATATAAATAACATATCAGGTTACCTCGGATCTGTAATTCCACGACTGTTGCTGGCCGCCAAAATTACTTGTTCTCAACGATGATCTTTGACGAATTCTCTCTTCAAGCAAGTCCATCGTTCTGTAATGAAGGAGCAACTTAATCAAAGATTCCTTGTTAGCCTTATTGTTACCCGCTGCCACTATCCAACCACTTCATTAATGTCTGTACTCCAATGCGGGTCTTTCTTGCTAGCATTTCATCAATATTGATGTTATAGAGATATTAGTGTGAAAATTAGCCTCGAACACATTTTGAAAAAGTGCTGAAGCTCACTGCAGCAAGCCCAAGTACTATAGGCGGGCAATTCTGGAGGCAGGAGACTCGCGCAAGATTAAAAAGCGTCACAAATGCAACACCGATGGCACACAAAACAAGGAAAGAGCGGTCAGTCCATGTAGAATCACGATCCAGAACCAAGTAAATATGATCGGAAGAGAGTGAGGCGAGTAACTTTAGCAATAACAGACTGGGTTCAAAATAAGAAGTAGAAAGTTTGACGGTTTTTTACCTCTGCAACTCTCTGGATCAATCGGTTAGAAATGCATATGGTCATTCACAACACTGGTCTCAGCTGAAAAATACTCAGTGCTGGAACTAAGCCTATGGTCGTCTACCGCCATGATTTTCGTTAGCCGAAGTTGTAGAGACATGAGAACACGCGAAGTATTAGATTAATGCATAATTATTGCTGATTATTTCAGCAAATTTTACTTGAAGAAACGATAGAAATATCTAGCAAAGACATGTTCAAATAATTGAACATATCCACCATCTACGTCAAACACTGCATCCCATTTGCTAGGCAGCCGAATTCCACAGGCGAGGAAGTTCCGATCTTGGAGGCGATCACGCCTTGACGTTGGCCTCAAGCCATTCACTTCGTCGAAAGTTCTGTTCGTTACAATTTTTCAAAGGGCGACTGATGTGATAATTCATAGGAGCTTCTGTTGGTGAATAGGGCGACCGTAGAAGCAGATTCCATTCTTTGTTCGACTTTGGCTGACTGTTCCATCGTCGAGAAGGTTCGTTGAGATCACTTATGAATGGGCCGCCTTCCAACGTTTCTCGAAGTAATAGAGCATAATTTGGCGTATACATGAAAATGACTTTCTAGACATACAGTGCGTCGCCAAATGATACAGCCACCTCTGATTTTACCAAAAACTCACTGTATACGATGTTTCTGAAAAACTGCCAAAGTAAAAAATGTGTCAAATTTGAATTGCAATTCGCACATTATCACCAAATTCCAGCTCGAAAACACAAACAATTTTTTTGTTCAATTTTCCAGTGAAGGGTGCTTGCCAAATAATACAGCCACTAACAAAATTAATTTATTTAACAACAAACATACAACAAGGAGAGAAAGTTGCAAAGTCAATAATCAGCTAACCCACCATTCTTTCGAATTATTCTGATAATNGCAATTTCGTTGTGTTGAACTAAAAAACGACACGAAGACATGAAGTGGCTGTATCATTTGGCGACGTTGGAAAAGCACTCTTTACTAAAAAATCGACCAAAAAAAATATTTGTTTTCGAGCTGGAATTTGGTGATGATGTGCGAATTGCAACTCAAATTTGACATATTTTTTACTTTGGCAGTTTTTCAGAAAAATCGAATACAGCGAGTTTTTGGGGAAATTAGGGGTGGCTGTATCATTTGGCGACGCACTGAATTTCTGTTAAGGAAAGCATGAAGATTATTTCTATTTCAATACAAAAATCCCGATTTCAAAAATTAAATTTTATCGAGAGAAAAGAAGCCGCGAAAAAATCCGCAGTAATTATGCATCAACCTAATGTTATTCATGATTCCAACAGTGTACAGGATCAGTGTACGGAAGGGGATACACCACCATTTCACAGCTGCTGGATAATCTCCAGAAGACAATTTTCATAGATGTCATGCTTCCTGCTAACGCTCTCTACTAATTCACAAGCCTGCTCTGCTCCTATTCAAAAAAAGTTGTAACGCGACCTTTAAAACATCGACCGTATGTCCGATAGGAAGCTACTCTCTAGACACAAGCTTCCGCCTCTTCACAGCTGTAATGAGTAAACGTTAGGTGCGCGAAAAGCAGTTGCACTCTTCACATTCACGCCGCGGCAGACTTCCTTGCAATCTTCTCGCCGAACGATAGTATCTAGTAAGTAGAACAGAGGGCGTGAGTGATCAGGAGCAAAAACAAAAGCTTGCATCCTTGACACACAGACTCATTTTCCTTTTCTATAAAATATATACCAACGTCTCGAGACCAGTTTGCGCTTCTTTTCGGCTACCCTCAGCTTATGCTGAGAAGCTTAAGAAATTGTGTTCGAAAGAGGTGTTGTTCTGCTCCCTTCCAAAAGAGTTATCCGCCTTTAGTATACCAAAATCGAAATGGACGCTCGCTTTTGACTGGGCGCCATCGTTTGCTTGGTTCTCACATCAGGGAGTAGGAATCTCCTTAGCAAGCACGAAAGCATCATTATCGGTCATGATCACTTCTGGTACACCGTTGCAAAGCATTCTATCTAGCGACCAGTCCTAATAATGTCGAAAAACGAGTACAGAGTGCCACTTCCGAAGTTTGCAAAACCATTTCATATAATTTGAAGATATTATTGTTTCCTAGTTTCCTAATGTCAGTGACGTCGACGGCTCCATCACATCTCGAGAAATAATCTATGGAGTCACAGAATAGTAAATTTGTGGAAGGCGGAGATTCTAAAACTAATATGACCATCACTCATTACTTACTTCATCAACATCACTTCTATAGATACAGAATGGTCCTGGAACAGAATGCTTCTCAATAGCTTATCAAATGCGTGTTCTGTTCGAAGCTGGTTAACCGTACTGGTGAAGAAATTCGTGATGTATCACACGACAACAAAAGAAGAACAGTTGCCTCATAGTGCTCTGCCGTACAGGCTTGCTGTTTGAGAAGCTCACTTGGTCGACGTTTCGAGCAANACCTCAGCCAAGTAAACAACCTCGTGCCTAACTATAAATAAGCCCCTAAAACGGATCAAGCATAATGGCCAAATTTCGAGAAATTTACGTAGAAATCAACAGGAGATGCCTAAACCGAATCCGTTTCGAAAATCGCATTTCTACTTCATCGGAACATCAGCCGATGAAGTATCAGAAGTGGAATGAGCTGCAGAAAGTCCAAAGTAGGCGTAAAACCGCTCGTATGTTCGTTGAGATCCCAATACCACGTACAAGCAATGCTTCAGTAACCTTGTTTCAACAACTGTTTCAAAAATTTGCAATGTAGAGATATGGAATTCTTACGTTATGTCCCTCTCGTCGGGACCTCTTCTGAGTGCGGAAGGTTTCGCAGTGGCTTCATTTCCAGGTTCGGCAACTTTTTCTTTGACTGAAGCTAAGCGTAGAGTCGTTCGCTGCGAAATGAAATTCCGGCACAGAGTTCGCGGAGTTACCAGCAACATAGAGCTTCTGGAAAAGATAGAATAAAATAGAGGGTTGTTGAACATTTTAGCAAACAAACCAACAACAGACCAGCAACTGAATTCAAAGGGCAAAAACACAAGAAACGTAGGTGAACACTGATTTTGCATACGGAGAGAAAAGATGGAAATAATCCAATGTTATCGTTCTAGAATAAACAACCCGACCCTCTTCTTGGAGCACAAAGCAACGATAACTTAGTATGGGCATTCAGTTCTTACAGTAATTTAGCTATCTGTCCTGGCTCAACCGAACTCGTGATGCGACGCAGCCCGTAACCTCTCAGCCACCTCCTCGTGTCTTTGCTCAAGGTCCCTTTTCCTTTCGACTTATTTGTGGAAAAGATGAGGACTTGTATATTGAAGTCAGTTCAAAGTAAGTTCATGCTTTGGAAAGAAATATGTCCTTTGTGAGAACTTCTGCATCCGTCGCTCTAATTTCACCGTTAGATCACTGTAATGACCGACTAGCCGTATTGAATTCTCGGTCTTGTGAAAAAAATCGAAGAGGTGCAAGAGAATGAGTGAGTAAGAATTGTACTCGAACATACATCCGGGAAATTAACCATGCTCCATCATGAATGGGTTGCATATTATTGAACTTCTACAGGTCCCAAGTAACACAACGAAATGCCCACATCACTCAATCAAACACTTTAAAAAATTACAACAATTCAAAAAGTGTCCGAAATCAAACAGTGTGATAGGAAATGAACGTACATGAACGTAATATAATTCAATTGAAAACTTACATGTTAAAGGAAGTGCTCTTGATTCGGATTAGAGCACATCTCTTAGGTTACTTTCAGAGTTCGACGACCGTCCGTCCGTCCGTCCGTCCGTCCGTTCAGCGCGTGCTGCGACGGCGGTCGCTA